CAGCGGGCCTTCCAGGGCGCCGACATGACGTGCGCGATGGACTGGACGTACGTGGGGCGCGACCCGACCTTCTACGACGTGTGGGTGGCGCGCACGCTGGGCGGGGACCTGTTCTTCGACATCCCGCCGGGCGGCAGCTGGGACAGCGCCTGGAACCTGTTCTGGAACGACGCGGGCACGAAGGCGCGGTACGGCGCGATGCTGCCGTTCCAGGTCTACGCGTGCTGGAACGGCGCCGTGGCGTTCGGGGCCGCGCCCGTGCTGGAGCAGGAGGGGGAGAAGAAGGAGGGACCCGGGAGGATCGAGTTCCGCGCGTCCAGGGACGGCGAGTGCTACGCCGGCGAGCCGACGCTGTTTTGCAAGGACCTTTGGTGGTCGGGCCGTGGCCGCATTGCTGTCGTGCCCTCGGTGAATCTGGAGTACTCGAACGAGGCGGCCGGGAAGATCAAGGATTTGAAGGGCTACACGTCGAAGTGGACCGAGCGGGGGGATGAGGAGAAGACGAAGATCGAGTGGGTTGATGAGCCTCCTGATATGGTGGCGTGTATGCCTGGCTTAGGAGACAAGAGCTGGAGGCCGTGGAACGAAACGCTTACATAAATTACCTTAATTATTGAATGACCAGATCCACACAACCCCTAGTTGAGAGTGGTACATTGGAAGTCGTGAACAAACGAAGGACAACGTATTTACGTTCTTCGCCAATGTTCGAATGGATAGCAAGGAGGGGAGAGAACAATGCTAATGGACCATGGAGTAGGTAGCGCTAAACTTGACATGTCGCTACCTGAGTTCAATATCCCCGGGTGACAATATTCTTGGTTGCAAGCCTAGGTCGGGATTTGAAGCCAATCTTAGATTGTTGAGATGCAGTTGGATCTGCCTTGGACTCGTCGTATAATGGTCAAGTTAGAAAGCCATGGACTAGGAATGAAGTATGAGTGATTCTGAAAGAAACGTCGATAACATTGGCAGCCAATATCGCGAATAGAACAGCTGCGTGGATGATTACGCATCACGTCAAGGCAGATTCGGACATTCGAATTTCTGATACGGGCGATTCGAGTATCGAGATCCTCTAATCCGACATTTCGACTTCCTTGCATGCTTGTGGGCATGGTAATGCGAGCCATTGCGGGAACATCCAGCATTGCAGAGGTATGGAGGCGAAGACGTGATAACTGCCTGGGTTGATAGCTGGAATAGAAGATTGAATAACAATGATCACATACAGAAGTAGCAGTAGGTAGTAAAGTACTTACTTACTTCTTGAAGATCATCATCGTCCTTGATTAATATCCTCAAAACCTTCCTCGTGTCACCACGCGCAGTGATGAGCACAACGAAAGCAAGAGTGGAGAGAACAAAAATTGCGATTATTAGGATACCAAAGGCATCGCCAAAAGACGGTTGACTCCACGATGTGCAATGTAGGTCTCCCGTCTTCCCTTGAGAGATTTGTGAGCTTCCCTCGGGCAATCAAGGTAAGTTTGAAGAAGAAAGGAAGAAGAGATGGAAGAAGAGATGGAAGCAGTGGTCAGAAGCGCCCGTGTTTAACTACCTCGAAGTGGGGCCTTTGGGCGGTGGGGATTCTGCCGGATACTTATTACACGAACGCCAATCAGAGCCAACAAAACTGCAGGCCGGTACCTAGGCAGTTGCCCAAATACATCCATCCAACACTGAGGCTTATTATGTGTCGCAATACCTGGAATAAGATGGAATACAGAAGGTTTAGGGAGTCATGTGTTTCTGATTTATTAGGTAAGTAAGTAGGCTCCAAGCATGCTACAGTCAACTTCCCACCGAGTATCATCTATCGGTATCCCATCTGGCTGCTCTGGTCGTCAACTAGGTACGCATGTGCTTTTGGAAAAAGCATTTGCCAACTCCTTTTCCTAACCCTCCCCCAGTGGTTATCCTTCCCATCGACCTCATGCACCTGTTACATCGGCATTGAAGTCGATGCGAATATAGTCGATGTAGTTCCGATTTACCATCAGCTGAAGTTGCATCTTAGCTTCATGCTCATGCATCCGCGAAAGGTCGCTTGAGAAGCCCTGATCCTTCCAGACGATGTAAGCCGCCATGATTTTAATAGTTGCCTTGTCAATGTTGCATCCGTAGCTGTTGGTGATTCGGCTATCCACGGTAGCTTTGATGGTTTCGACAACAGAACTACCAGCAGAATCCATAATGTCATGGCTACGAGATTGAGTTATCATTCCCTATAAGTCAGAATCAAATTTACTTGAACTAGCTACACCACTGCCTTCTGTCTGGATCAGGGTTGTAATCCACTCCACCCACTCCACCAGCCACACATGTGGAATGGGTGGACTTTAATCCACGATAAAGTCATATGGAGTGGACTAAATGGATCCACTAAGAGGTTATGTGGAGTGGGTGGCCACAAAGTGGACGTGAATTAGCCACAGATATACGGCGTATACCAGCCACAGGCAACAGGAGTGAGGCGTATACCAGCCACAGGAGTGAGGCGTATATTAGCTACAGGGGTGAGGCGTATACTAGCCACAGGGGTGAGGCGTATATAGTACTAGCCACAGGTAAGGGTATACTCGCCACCTGTTAGCAATATCCCTACTTTTACTAATAATCACTAACAGCAGGCCTTCTACTCCACAGTTAGTCCACCCACCCACCCACTTCCACCCACGAGAGCTTCAAGTGGACGTGGATTAGTCAGCAGCAAGGCCAGATGGAGTGGAATGGAATGGAGTGGCTCCCACAAAGTGGCCCACGCGTGGATTAGCGTGGAGTGGATTACAACCTTGGTCTGGATCAGGCTGATACTATGTGAGTGATGGGTTCTACTGCTCTGCTAAGTCAGCCTTCAAGCCATAATTCTTTGAACTTCATCTACACTATAGCCTAAAGGCTAGAAGGCATATCATAGTGTTCGATCCGTTTCTACAAAACTCTGGACGTACTACCTATCATATGCATTAGCAACGTTCCAGCTTCAATGAAAGACTGCAGTAAAGAGGCAGGGCGAAAGCAATGGATGCAAGTGTAAAGATGTACCTCAGGCGGTTGGTGCTCCTGCAAAGAAACCTTGGATATCCATTAGAAAATCCTACAATACCAAGGCTGTAACAGGACAACACCACAGAGGGCTATTGAATTCTCAGGGCTCATACCCAGATTAGTACAGATACATATTTAAGCAAGTCCTTCACTTCGTCCTAGATTGATATTTCCTCTCCTTCACTATCCACTTGGACCAAACTCATCATCATCTTCCATACTCACTGCATCACTAACGACAGTCATCAACACAATACTAGCAATAAATCTACTTCTCATCATGGCTTCACAGGTTAGCAAGACGCTGTTCCTAGCCCAAGTCCACCACCGCAACTGCAATCGGCGGTCCTGCGGTCTCTAACCTTGATTCTCTCTTATCTAAGATTGTTTAGACCAACCCAATTCTCTTACCCTGTCTTTGTTAAGCCCCCTTTTTCCTTATCTGCCTTGCGGCCATTCTTGATATAAATGTGTGTCTGCTCGGTAGTTCATTTATCTTTAATCAACGGTAAATGGACATCACTTGTATTGCAAGGCGAAAATAGCTCCCTAACATCGTCATTTACATTTGTGCATATGTCTATAGTATCTATTATTCCCTACATCAAATATTCTAGATACTTCGAACAAGTGTTATTATTGACTAATGAGTAGCAAGAAGAGACATCGGAATAAGCCTTTTAATACCGTAACGTATATCTCTATCCCATTTCATACTTCTGTATTGCCTGGTGTGTTGAATGTGATTTAAACCTAGATTCTACGTCTCCTAGACCTACCAAGGAATCTTGTTCCATCTATTCATTAAAACATACAATACTCTACTTTGAAATAATTGCTATTATTGATAGCTCATGTGTTACAACTCGAGTCGCAAAACAGTATCTTGAATGCAGTTTTCATGACAGCCATACTAATGTCTTATCTACGCTTACAACTAACTCTATGGCAACCTACGTCCAAGAGATGTCAACTGCTCAGGAACAAGCTTGACTGACGAGACATCCCAGGGCGTTACTGTACTTATTAGTAGAAACCCTTCAGCACTAATGATTCACGACGACTATATTCTTAGATCAGGGCTAAAAGATGGTCGAGTGTCTGGTAGATCAGCATACGACTATATGTTGAAGAATTTATAAATGGCATTGCATTTTAAAAGACTAGGATCGCGTAATTGAGTATAATATGAAGAATAAAAAAAGAGTTCCAGATATTAGCGTATCTCGACTGTCTTGCTTTTTGGGTGTTACAGCCTGGTATATTGTTTTCCCTTCGATATTTTCACTCTAGCTTGCTTCTGGAGACTACACGTCAGGACTCTTTGTTATTCTGTATATATAAAGGTACTTTTTCAAATTCCCTTAAGATATCGTGTCGTACAACAACTCTATTGTTTTGCTAATTCATACACTCACATCATGGCACTACAGTACTTCATGAAAATCTTATCGTAGCCCGCTTTACGACCAAGGTTGTAATCCACTCCACATGAGGTTCTCGTGGAGTGGAAACAGGGCTGGCACGTTGCACACTACAGTACGTGCATGCGTGCACGGTACATATAGTGGTCTTTTGTCCACGAGAGGCTCTCGTGGAGTGGAGTGGATTACAACCTTGTTTACGACATATCCCTTTAATGTAGTTGATATTATCTGCAACACTTTCCTCCAATAGACCGTAGAACTCGAACCCAACGATGCAGAGGCTCCATTCGCGACTGTCGCATCCATATATTTTGTTGGCAACTCCATGGTATGCCATCGTTACCCATAGAAGACATATCTGAAGCAACCTATTTTGGCATAACAATTTTGCTATGTTTCAGGTAAAAGTTGAGCAGCTTACAGCGAACAATTAGCGCAAATTTGTCGGCAGATGTCCGGCAACGGCGCCAAACGCTATACAGAGAACGATAGCCGAGACGCCATCCAACCAGATTTGTCTGTGCCCTGGTAGCTCAATTGGCTAGAGCGTGGGACTTTTACTCATATCGAGCTGATTGGTTCGGTTGGAATTAGGAGTCATCCCAAGGTTGCGGGTTCGACCCCCGCCTGGGGCGTCCTATATGTCGGGATTGCTTCATGTCAACGCATTTCATTTTTTAGATTTTCACTGTCTCTTACTCATAATTGTGTAGTTGTGTCATATGTCTTGGTATATCAATTCAATATTCCTAACTTGATTAAATTTTAACTTCTTTATTTTATTTCACGGATATTTTCAGGTGAAAATTTTATATATTTATGTAATGAAAATACATACATGTTTTTAACATGAGCTATGTCCTGTTATGAAAACGTGACCAATCGTTACATATATATCATCTAGTATATAATAGGCCTTAGTGGCTTGAGTAACATCCGACCTTTCAAGTATATGGTCACATTAGATTCCTAACAGCTATCCGAGCCACCATACTTGTTGAGCACAAATGATGTCTAAAACACACAAACTCGCTGCCTATAATGGCCATTGAAGAGCAATGGAATATGATAGATAAGCTAGGCTGTTTGTAAGAGCACCTGTGCTTTGAATTGTCGGCTCTTCAGTTTACGAGGGTCAGTTGAGTAAGCTCGCAAGTTCATTGCAAGTACTTAGCTCTTATTGGAGAACGGGTTGGACGTATTCATATCAATCAACTATAGCAGAGTTCATCATACATACCCCAGTGGGCAGTCTTAACAGCAACCAATTGTTAGGTAATAAAGTAGGCATACCTACGTAACCTGCTTCTCACACGAAGCTCACTTACTGTAATGCCTCTGCCACTTTGGTTGTCCGGCTCTCCCGACTTATTACTTACTACTTATGTGCGTCGCGTTATGTAGTCACCCGGGCCAGAAACAAATCCAATCAGCACCAGATTGACCGGTCGTCAACTTCAACGTTCCCAAGCCAGTGGCGTCGTAAAGCCAAGGCAGCGCATCGCAGACCGGCATAACGTCGGCATCATGGCCATAGCCTAGGGGCTGCCTATTTTAGATTGGTATCGATCTAATCCGTAGACAAGCAGGCCATCTTCGGCGGTGCGACCGTGGGGCCCGGAAGCAAGGACCCAACTTGGGACGCACTCCGGGACGCGCCCCGGTCTGCGGGCCATGCAACTCGCGAACAAAATGAAGATGAGCCCCTGGCGGGCTCGGCAGTGAAGACCGAGGTACTATATATACAACGACTCCCCGCCCGAGCCTTCCTGTTTACGTATATATAACTCGAGACCGATCTCAAGCTCAAGCGCGAAAGAGGATAGTAAACAATAGCCTGCGAACGGTCGAAGCCTGTACCTAAACGAATATAGATACCCGCCAAAGAATCAACCATGGTCGCCAAAACCGTCCTTCTCGCGGTTCTCCAAGCTGCTGCCGCCACCGCCGGCGCGCTCCCGCAGCGCCAGGAATCCTGCGACGCCGTGCACATCCTCATTGCGCGGGGCTCGGAGGAGCCGTACCCGGGGCGGCAGTCCAAGCTCGCGGACGCGATCTGCGATGGGCTCGAGAGCTGCGGGTCCGAGGACATCGTGTACCCGGCGACCTTCTCGGACTACTGCAATTCGGCGTTCGCCGGCGTCAGCAACGGGACGGCGCAGATCACGGCCTATGCGGAGCGCTGCCCGGATGCGCGATTAGTGCTCACGGGGTACTCGCAGGTAAGTACTTGTGGTGCGTTGATGGAACATGCGACGGTTGAGCACGGGTGGGAGGAAAAGATTGGGACGGTCCCGACGCTGATATTTGAGGTCTCTGTATAGGGCGGTCATATTGTTGGCGACATCCTCGGCGGCGGCGGTGGTGTCATCCCGGGGCAGAACTGCACACAACCTACGAGCCTGCCCCTGCATCTTGCTACCTCGCCTGGGGATAAGAGTGAGTCTCCCTTGTCGATCTATTCATGAATGCTGACACCCTACTCCAGTCGTCGCAGCGGCATTCTTCGGCGACGTCCGGCACACCTCGAACCAGACTTACAATGTTGGCACGGGAGTAGCTGGCTCAGGAGTAAGTGTCTGCTTGCGATTGCCAGCACTGCTTTGCATGTTGGGATGTTAACAGTCCATTTAGATTTGGCCCCGAGAGGGGTCGCAGCTGTCATCGCTGAACGAGTTTTCGCAGTCGTTACACTCCTGGTGTCTTGTCGATGACCCCGTTTGCGCGGGCGGAAGCGACTACAATGCCCATACTGCTTACTTCGATGTGTATACGGATGAGGCTGCCGCTTGGGTGAAGACCAAGCTGTGAATATGCCGTAAGTGGAAGATAACGATGGATCCTAAGGCAGTAATTAAGGCCCCAGATAGTCGCGAACATATATCATACTAAATAAGTAATGATGATTTACTATTTAAATACTAATCGGCCAAAAGAGTTTGGATTCGTAGATCGTGTATGTCTTGTCTAAGTATGCATCGAAGATCATTCGCGAGCTGTCTACAAAAAGGAGTGTGATGTGCAGGAATCTGATAGTCTAGCTTATTACACTGCATCATGATATAGCTGATGCTTTTCTTCGATTGTGTACTGGTATGCAAATGCAATGAGCACTCTTCCCCATGATTGTCAAAACGCTTTCGTAAGTGCTCTATTTCTCTATCTTAAAGCCAAAGACATTGTCCCCAGTGACCTCAAGGAAGACTAGCTCTCTGTTGCCTAATCACTTGAATATCTTGGGATTGATTGCCCTCGCTGTCAAGAAGTAAGCGGTACGATTGGGCGATGATATTTTGAGTATAATCAACACGAAAGAAACAGTTGGGGGGCGGTAAAAGTGCCGAACATCTATCGATAGGTCTTATATTGGGTGAGCTCTTTTACGAATTTACTGACGAGTATAGGACTAGACGATAATGCCACGAACCCTCTATGAGCTAACGCTGACCCGACTACCGTACAGCGTCTCCTACCGATCCTCCACTAGACGGTAGCTACATCTTGACCATCTGCATTTATGTTTCCTTTCATTTTGGTTTTATTCGGTGAGATTACGACGATTTCTGGGCCTGGAGGCTGCGCCTCATGCAGTGTATCGCATGTGCACCCAACAGCAAGTCATGCTATAAATAATGTACTTACCGGGAAGAAATTTTGTATGGACAGCGCCTTAGGTTGTCGGTACATAAACTGTCTAGGTATCCCGCCCCTTTTACAGTAACAATTACCTGCTGTCATTTATCCTTCTCCTATACGCGTTCACTCCCATCCTTGACAATCAATAATGATCCTTGGTCGGGCCATTTCTTCTTTTTCTTTTTCTTCTGTCTTCTCTTAACACTATGTCTCTTTGGATATGACTTAGTATGGATCTTCTCTCTCTACTATAAGAGCTTATCCTGGTGATCCTAGCAGCTGCCGCAATAGCGCGGGGTCTCAAGCGTGCTATGAGACTAAGGCTTGTTTGTAGTGAGTCGCATCACCCCATGCTTCGCTCCCGGCCTGTATCTAACGTATACTTCATAGACGATCGACACTCTGTTTAAGGGGGCATTGTTCACGACAAATGTGATGGGCCGCTACGTCGTCGAGCATAAAATCGATTGGCAAAGATACTATAACTTGAGCTATCATGAAATATCGCAGCAGTATATTACGTTCAGCACAGTTTCTCCATCGAAAGCGTTCACTCCTATGCCGAGGAAGAGAAACCTTTGACGAGACTCGTAATACTTATTATACAGTTTAAAATCAAATCCTGCCCCAAATTTCGCTATACCCATTCCACCAAACACGACAGTGTCCATTGATCGAAAAATTGAGATCGCGACATCTGTTCTCAAGATCTTCGACACAAGAAGGCATCCAGGATATGGAGATCAGAGGTGATTGAATTAAGCTCACCTCTAATCATCGGCAGTTGGACGTCGCAAAGGGTCGAACTCCGTCGCTTCGTAATGAATCGTCGAGGGAGTGAAGAAATACTGCTCCTGAATCCTATGATAGTATACCAAGGCTTTTGACCAGCGCTTAGCAGAGAACGAGGGGTTGTGGTGTATCGGAATAGCGTCAGCAGCGGGGTCCTGAGGCATGTTCTCGTAGCGGAATTCTTCGAGGTTCGGTAGACGGGAAACCAAGTTGTCGAGTGTAGCAGGTTTCCAGGCTCGGTTACGTCTTATTTTGAGGAGGAGGCTCGTGACGGCGGGGGCTTCCGGCAAGGTTTGCCACCAATACTTCTCGTAAGCTTCGTTGAAATATATATGCGCGTCATTACCTAGAATTACTTGATCAGCAGGGGCCAAAGCTGTCTCGGGAGAGGAGATCTCGATCTCTAGGTTGAGTTGTCCTTGGGGCTCCCATAAGCTGAGTATCCAAAATAGGTCGTGCATTGCTGTGATAATAATGCAGTTATCTGTTGTGCGCGGAGGTTGCTTGTTGTGCGGTGAAGCTTCCCACAGGTGACCACTGCCCCCTTCAAGTTGTAGTGAAAGCGAGATGCATTTGACTTGAGCTCGGTTGTCTTGAGTTATAAGGTTAAGCTCGGGCAAGTTCCATAGTGTAAGTTTGATGTGTTCGTAGTTAGAATGCTCGGTGTCGTTTTGCCGTTGACATGTTAGGGTTGCCGGTTGAGCGGAGGAACGGCCATGGTGGGTTGAGCGAATCGGGAGGGAGAGCTCAGTTTCTTTAGACACAGCTGCCTCGGATGGGTTGGTGGCGGTAGATCGAGACATTTTGGTCCGTTAATGACGTTATAAGGTAGAGGGGAGTGTAGTTGAGATTGATGAGATTGAGGGGTGGGAAATAGTACTTAGTGGTAGATCCAAGACTTTGGTGTGAAATGGTTCGAGGAGATGGATAGAGAAAAAGAGAAGAGAGGCTGGGGGGCTCCCGGCTTACTTATACCCTGTTTATTACAGCCTGGAGGGAGATGAGCTAACAAAGCGAATAAGCATATAGCACGGTTAGGAATCGAACCTAACTCGCTTTATTACTCATTAATCTTCGAATCTAGGTTTTAACTTTTGGCCCTGGTTGAAGCCTGTTTTCTGTAGCTGCCGGTATGACCATTTCGGCGAGTGGATAGTGAACTTTGTTGCGTATGTGCATTTCTTCTTTCCGTACCAGTTAGTCTCCC